CAATTAGAGGCATAAGATTTCAGACATATGAAGCCACAAATACCAGGCAACGGACCTTACTGATTGAGGATTGGCTAGTTGGGTGGCAGGACCAGCAGGAAAACTCTAAAGGCCATTCCAGCGTGCTCATATCATTGGGGGCATCAGAGGACATTCCCACCTAGAGCAGAAGCCCTTGTCTGAGGTTCATCCCCTCTCTTTGAAAGAATTCTGCCTAGATGAAGGGGAGGCTTACCAGAACCAAGAAGGAAGCATCCTATTGCTTCCCTAGAGCAATAGGTGGCATATTCGGGAGGCACGGCAGTAGAACAAACAACAGGACTTTGGTGTATCCTGGATTCCTACACTGGTTATCTCTGGACTTGGAGCATCATTTTCTTCCATGAGCTGCCACCAGTTAGAATCCTGGTCTCCACCGTTACAGAAAAGAGCAAGGAAGTGCCTCAAAAATGTATAAAGCACAACTCGCAAATAACCCGGCAATCTCACTGTTGGGGGGTACATCCAAAGGATAGGAATTCGGTGTGCCAACAAGATGCCTGAACACCCCGTTTGCTGCAGCACTACTCACCATGGCCAAGACAAGGAATCAGTCTGCGTGCCCAACAGTGGGCAGATGGGATAAATGCAATGTGACTTACGCAGGGTCTAGACTAACTAGTAAGTCACAAAAGTGGATGGAAAGAGCCAGAAACAGAGCACAAATAGTGCGTGTTCTCACTCATATGTGAAGACTTTAAAAGGTAAACTCCCAGAACGAAACCAGTGCAAGCTAATCGGAAGCTAAATTTATAGAGAGGAGGAGGCATCGAGACAGGATAACTTGTAAGTACCGAACACAGTAAGACTGGAATAACACATTCTACTACAGTAATCTATTGCATATTTTTTAATAGAAGAGTTTAGACTCTCCTGAGAGGGTTCATCTTGATGGTCAATTTGATGGGATCTGGAATCTGACAGGAAATGGCAGTATGGATTAAAGGAAGGACAAGATCCTCCACCAGAACAGGTGGGCCTTCTTGACATAAAAAGGTTCAGGGAAAAATCCATACAGTTCGTTTGCCTGTCTCCACCTCTTCCTGGTGAATGCATGTCTGCTGCTGCTGCTGCTGCTGCTGCTGCTGCTGCTGCTGCTGCTGCTTCTCCTCCTCCTCTTCCTGCTGCTGCTGTTGCTGCTGCTGCTGCTGCTGCTGCATCCTTCTTTGACTTCAGACTACAGCTTCTTTGGGATCGGCTGTAAACTGAAGACCAATGACTTTTTAGGAATCTCCCCGGTCTTTAGCATCAGGTAGACATTGCTGAGGCATCCAGTTTCATAGGTTGAGCAACAGTGGGGTACTCAGTCTCTCCCCCAAACACATGTAGAGAGCCATTGCTGGGCTACTCAGCTGTATCAGTGTAAGCCTCTCTAGTAAACTGTATGTCTTTCTGTGTGCTTGTGTGTGCGTGTGCGTGTGCGTGTGTGTGTGTGTGTGTGTGCTCTGTTGGTTCGGTTCCCCTGAAGACACTTAGATCAAGTACAGGCAATTGTGAGTGTGGCTGTAAAGAAGAGCAGGTACCTCAGCAGGAATGAAAGCTGGACCAGAGAAGGACTGTAGTTACCCAAAGAATTTACCAGAAGGTAAGCCTTTAAGCCAGCATGTCCAAAAGACAGTGCCAAGGAAAATCAATTCTGCAGGACTTTAATAAGCATGGCCTGGCTTTCAAAACAAGGCTTTCTAAACCAAGTGCATTCAGGAAACACTGGCCTCCATGATAGAAAATAAAAGCTTCCTTTTCCAGGATTTCTAGGTGACTTCCATACAGGAATTCATCCTTCTAGCATGCTCCATGCTGAAATGAATTTGAGCATGAGGTCTTGCTTTCTTGGTTCACTTCATAGGCCTATAGGGACATTCCGGAAGAGCAAATTTAATGAATGTGTCTCTGGCTTCCCTCTCATGACACCTTCTTGAACTCAGAGCCTAGGACCACACTATTTCTAAGACATGGTGAGATAGTTTCCAGCATCTGTGAGCTTCCTACAGGCTTAAAAGTGATGGAGATTTGAAAGGAAAACTGCTGATTTCATAGGAGAAGAAAATAGCCAGAAGAAAATCGCAATAAAATGTGCACTAAATATTTAGGTAAATAGATATTTAGTAAATAGATATTTAGATGGGTCCACAATTGAGGAAAAAATGTTAAATTGAGCTCCGCTTATCAAGGTGACTCTAGGCTCCATCAAGGTGACAGTTAAAGCTGATCAGGACACCAGCCTAGTGGCACACCCATAATCCCAGCTACTCAGGAGCCTGAGGTGAAAGAATACCAAATTTAAGGTTTGTATTGACTACAGAGTGAGCTCAAGGCTAGCCTAGGCAACTCTGAGAGACATTGTCTCAAAATAAAAACTATTAAAGGCCTGAGGTTAAAATTCAATGGTAGAATGCTTGCTTAGCATTAAGAACAAAACAAAAAGAAAGAATGAAAACCTGGAACTTAGGAATGACAGTGATGGTTTTGATAAAGACTGGCCCCTTAAACTGTACACACACACACACACACACACACACACACACACACCCTGAAACTGAAGAATTTCTAACCAATAAAGAGCCAAGACACAAGCCACACCCCTGTCACTAGGGCAGTTTCTGAATCCAGTTAATTTACCCAGCAATGGGAAAAGGCTGGGAACCCTTCATTCCCATCTTCCACAGTCCCCTATGCCCAAGCTCACTCTACTCTGTATTCCTCACCGCAGAGGAAATTCCTTTTGGCAATAGCCACTGCATCCTACTGCAAAGCCCAGCTCTCTCTCAGTAAGCTGACCCCTCCCTGTGGAAAACCATGGGGCACTTATTTACAGCCAGTGGCTTCCCTTTGACCTTGCTAAAGGAACTGGACTTCTCTCCACAGGATTAGCTAGTGGCGGCATGTCAGGAGTTGAAGGAGGGACTCGGAGGATAATCCCGTGGTTTTGAAAGCTCTTCTAACAAAATGGCATTTATTTCAGAAGATATGCTGATGCTTCGTAAAGGTAAGCATGCTCAGAGCCTTGGCCACTGTGGACCGAGACCAAGGGCAGTGGAGATTTCCAGGAAGATTCCTTCCAGAATGTTCCTGTACATTCCTTCCAGAGTCATCTGGAAAGATACTGGGCTCATGGAGAAGCTGCCACTGTCACTCAACACCTGTGCCACTTTGCAGAAAAAGAAAAAAAAAAAAAAAGGAAGCCAGAGAGACAGAGACTCTGACTTTTACAACAGCTCATTCCTTCAAACAACCTATTTGTCAAACTCGGCTAAATATCACAGCAGGCACCACAGTCTTCTCATTTCTCGTGTTTGATTTTAAATGGAATGACTCATTTCTCATTGTCTGCCATAATCCAAAGTCTGTTGTGAGTGATTTCAACAGCAAATGAACACACACGCACACGCGCGCACACGCGCACACACCTGCTCACATGAGCGAACAAATGAGCACGTGCACACGTGCATACAGTCGTGTTCACGTGGGGGTGGGTGGCTGCCCTTCCTTTGTGAGTCTGATAAGGCAAAGTGCAAACAGTGGAGGAGGGCGACCTGAAGAATTGCTGTTTGCACAAAGAGGGGAGAAATTCTGGAATTATCTTTGAACGTTGCTGAATGAAGGGGGACCGTGTTTCTGACGCCCCTCTGCCTTTTTAACTTCCTTTTTTAAAGTAAATTTTCCTCGCCTAGTGACTCCATTGATGGCGTTTTTACACTGAACGATTTCCTCACTTCCTCTCAAACCTTGTCCCCCACTAAATTTCCATACAGTTAATTTTTAAAGGGAACGAGAGAGCTCATTCTCTAAACGGTTGACAAGAAATGTGTTCTGTGGTAGCAAATGAATTGGCACTTGGTGACCATTTATTGTGATCATGCTAAAAAAATAACCCTACAATGTGAAATCACACTGGGCAGTCTGAACTCTGTTATTGTAATGGAATAATTGACAGAGGAATCGGGAAATGCCAATACACCCTTAATACTCATCTAGAGCCAGCAACTGCTGTATCTTAATCATACTCTCACCTAAAGTATATTTAATGTAGCTTTATTTGAATCACCTTGATAAATCTCTTGGCAGGATCCACAAACATCAAGTATAAACCTCTGCTCGCTAAATCTGGCCCTTCTGCCGACTTGTCAGATGACTTTGTATAAAAGCCCACCCATTTCCGCCCCCCCCCAACATACACACCTCCTTTCTCAGCCAATAAACTAGCAACAATGGATGTGTCTAGCACTCAGAAATGGCTGCAAGACACCCCTTTGTATTTGGATAGCATTTTGCAAGCGACAAGCTGGCTTGAGGCTAAAGATGTCAGAATGACACCTCAACACCGGTTGTGAGAGCGGGCATTTCTTTTATTTCAGTTTCACCAATCCTGCTATCCTGTACCAGCCCTGCCCTGTGTGATCCGCGGGCATATGCTGCTTTGCACTCTGGTTGGAGCGTCCATGACTTTTCCTGCAGCGCCACCACATTCTCACAATACTCACACAACTCCATACACCGGCGGACAGAGCAGGTGGTACCGCGTGATAAACCTTGACGCTCTCACTGTGAGAGTACTTCCGGGTACAAATACATGCAGCATGAGAGCCAGCCCCGTACCTGGGAGGGGTGGTCCTAAATGGACTCCTGTATCCAGCAAAATACGAATCCCTATGTAAAACCGTAGGTGAGCACACAACGATGCCCTGTGGCTGCTTGCTACACCCCTGTGGGAGACATCTAAGACACCAAAAGATGACAGACATGCCGTGATTCAGCCTCAAGTAGAAATGGCTAACAGGAAAAAAAAAAATGCTAAACAGAGAAATGAATGAGACACAGGTCTTGCTTTCCTTCTGTTTGGGAGAAAGGCACCCATGCCCACCTTGAACTAGGCTCTCCTTTGTAAATTAAGGAGTTCAAGCATCCCTGCGTGATATCGGATATGCCCCATTAAACTGACCTACCCAGTTTGGACAGAGAAATGTAGAAAAACATTTTAATTTGCCTAAGTTTTGTTTCTCCAGGGGACAGCACTGGAACGGTGTATGCTGCAAAACGTGCAAACCATGCCCTGCAAGTTCCCTGGAGGTCTCAGGTGATGGTCCCCAACAGAAAAACAGACCTCCCACCCTAAGAAGCATTCTCGGGCTTGAAACAATAACCAATCAAACAGAGCCAAGGCTCACGGGTTTTTCTTTTTTTCTCTTTTTCTATTTCTTTTGTTTCCTTCTTTCTTTTTTCCTTTTCTTTTGTTTTCTTTCTTTTTTTGAATTTAGGAACCATCTCCACATCGTCAGTTGGCTTGAGCGCCCTCATGCGTCTCAACAGAGGAATGTCACTCAAGGTCTTCCACCGGGTTCTTCTGAAGGACAAGTTGGGTGACACACAGATCTTCAGGCTTGCTTCAGGAACTTCTTAGTGGGCTAAAGATTCACAGGCTCTCCTGGGACTGGGAGGAGCATGTCCCCATGATAAAGAGTGACATCTCAACTTAGACCTGGAGGAATGAGAAAAGGAGGAGGCCAGTTTCAACTTGTCTGTTCTCTTTAAGCCTGTCGGGTCATCTTGTCCCCTTTCTCTTTTCTACCCCCATCCCACCTCACTGCACCTTGAGGAGCAGAGATCCAAGCATGAATGCTTTCTCTGCAACTCTGGTGGCCTTGCTACTGTAACAAGCGCATCTCATATTTCTCCACACCCACAACATAGTGAGAGTAAGCCAGGCTTCTTCCCTGGTACATTCTCTTTGTGTCCTGGTTTCCTCTTGTCTCCCAGCTGATATGTCTCTGCAGCCTTGCCTGGCACATGAGAAAAAAAAATCACTCGGTAAATAATAAATCCAAACTTAGATGCTCTACTCTAAGTCCCTTGCCTTATAGCGTTTCCAGAAAATCCTTGCAACACACATCCCTTAGCAACCAGCTTCGGGTTTCTTTGGGGCACAGGAATAGGCCAAATGAATCTGCGTTCTCCATTATTGTCATCTAGAGCTGGGCACACAGTGACCCTCCATATGCCAACAGAGTTGAGGGTGAAGAGCGTGACTAGTGAGGGAGCAGGTGCATAGAATGAGTTTGCCTTCCTAATGTACTTCTTCCCTTGCTCTTGCATCCTTGGTAGAGTTTAAAGTAATCAGAGATGCTCAAGAGTCAGGCTTGTTTGGGAATTTAGGAAGGTCTACACTGAAACCCCTGAATCTATATAGAAAAAAAAATTAAAAAAAGAAAGGAGGAAAATATTTTTCTTTCATCTTCCTCCTTCCATTTCCCCATCTTATCTTGAGGTTAGGAAGGCATGAGTCAACAATCCCACAGAAAACACACAGACCAGGAAATGTCAAACAAAAGTGGTCCATCCGTGGTCAGTATGTCAGACCTACCTTGCAGGACTTTGAATCCTGTTAGCAGAACATTCACCAAGAAACACGCGGTCTTGGACTCCTCTCACCAAAAAGGCAAAGAGCTGTTCCCTGCCTGGTTGAAGCTAGCCAAATCCAACAAAGCCTTCGAGATTTTTGGCTTAATCTTCCCACTGAACACAAGCCAGCTCTCCACGAGTGCAGCTGGGGCATCATCACCAGCCTTCGCTGCGGGCAGCTTCTCTTTCCTGCTTCTTAGCACTTTCTTGGCTTGGGGGCAATAGCAGAGGTACCTTCTCCTCCCACCCACTGCCCCCACAGGTACCTCCAACTGTGTAGCTTGGCTTTGGAAGGTTCCCCACCCACTGAAAGTACAGTCAAGACTTTTGTTAGGTAATCTACAACCCTATGCAAATGCCAGAAAACGCCTGCCTTATGGAAATGCTAGATCTTTCTTGCAATTAAAACATCATAGCCAAAACTAGGGCAGGAAAAGTCTGTTGTACATGACTTACCTAACTAGGAGAAGGATCTTTTCCAAGCGTGTCCTTAGGTTGGTTCCTAAGATGAATTTATACAAAGCATCTCTCAAGTCAACCCTCCTTCCTTCCAATCACCATAGCAATCTCAGCAACACAGATGCCCATGAAGCTCCAAGCTTTCTCCTCCAAGACACTGTCTGTATGATGACAAGCCCTTCCCTGAGCTTAGTCTTCCTGTTAAAGAGCCCTAATGCCTCCTGCTACAAGATAAAACTCAGATACTGAAAACTGACCTCGAATCTTCCATATTTTCTCAAAGCCCCTCCCCAAGAAAAGTCACAAACAGAGCCATATATCACCCACAGCATTGCCAAGAGTTCTGCCCCTGCCACTTCAAAGTCCCTTATACAGCACAGTAATGGTGGGGGCCCAGATATCCTTGAGCTACAGGCTTCTGGACAGGAACTCAGTTTTGGATACTTGTGCTTGCCTTCAACTCCCTCCCTTAACATTCTCGAGCGAAGCGGCGCTTGTGCACTTAGCAGTGGGGCATGCACGCTGGTTTCATTGGACTAGTGTGGCTGCTCACCACTGTATTCCTTTGGATGGCAGTCTTCCCCACCATTGTAAAACCCTTGGCACAACTAGAGACTAACCCCTAGATATATAGATAGAGCTGTAAGTGAGCAAAATAAGGAGTGAAAATTCAACACCGAACACACACACGCACACACGAGCACAACACATCCTGATACATACAGGACACTGTGTTCTGGTGAAGGCTTCGGCGAGCTGGAAAAAGAAACTGTCTTGTCAGAGGAAAGCCATCACCCTTGCCAGCTGGTGGACCAGCCAGAGGTCAAGTGTGGATCCTCGAGCAGTGCGCAATGGCTAAGGAAGTAGAGGGTACTGGAGAATGGAAGTCAAGTCCTTCTGGGAGAATCTGAACCTACATCTTTATTCCCTCTTTGGAAGGTACCAGTGAGTGATCTATTCTGTAATGTCCTATGGGCTCTATTCCTGCCTAAAGCCTAGAACCATCAACAATCAACCCCAGAGCTTTCCAGAATAAGAATCTCATGAAACATGAGCTAGCATCACTTTTCCTAATTTAAAATTCACTTACTTCTTGAAGTATGAAACCTTCCTCAAATCTCTAGCTGTCCCTCAAAGTCATGACATTCTGAATTTATAGACGATGTCCCAAGGTAGGTCATCTTCCCAACTAGATTTCAAGTGCCTCAGGTCAAGATTTATGTTTGTCTTCTAGATTTCTTCACTTTTATCCCCCCTGAAACACTGAACAGTGTTCTGCCTAAAAGGTATTGGAGAAACGACAATACCACTGATGAACAAAAACTGGAATAAGTTAAACAGTGTGCATATTCAATCAGTCAAAAGGTAAAATTAACTAATTGAAACATGGAAATTCTCCCAATTTTTAACATATTTTCTGTGTCTTTTATTCCTTCTAGTCCTTGTTATAGCAAACATCTCTGCTTTCTAGTAATCCTTTTATGCAAAGAATGGGCTTTAAGTCATTTTAGCAAGTCCACTCCCTGCATATAGACACACGTGCGCACGTGCACATTCACACACATGCACACACATACATGTACACACACTCAGAGACAGACCTTATTTTTGCCTTGATTTGTGAGGACAGGATTAGTGTCCGTTTTTGTTTGTCTGTTTTAACTTCCGTGAGAAGTTTCAGGATTGAACCTGAAGCCACTGGCTCTGTGTCTTTTCAAGACCATGCTGCCCAGGTCTGCAGAATTGCCAAATGCTCTCTCACTTACCTTCTGCAAAATATTCGAGATTTTACTGTTTAATCCTTTCACCTCACCCCAGCCCTTAATGACCACCTTCCTACCCTGAGAAGTCCTCTCATGGATCATTAACCTCCTTCACAACTTACAGACAAGCCTTCTTGCCTACACTCCACTTATAAGAAACTGTGAGCGGCTACGCTGTGAGCGGCTACGCTGGGCACGGTTTGTGATTCCACTGTAATTTTCCCATTAAGTCTCCAGTTTATCAGTCTCCTCTCCTACACATTCTGGTCTTCCCCTACCCTTTCTTCCCAGTCCCCCCTCCATCCCCCCCGCCCCCCCCCCCCGCCTCTTCCCCAACCCCCAAGAAGTGAACTGGTTTACCCAGCAGGTTTAGTCTTGCTTTGACCAGCTCACTGTTTCAACGTGATTATGGAGTGGCTGGTCTTAAATACACAGTTTATTAATTTTCAGGCATTTGTCATGTCCCTCTGTGGAGTGTGGTGTGAGTGAGTAGGTGTGCGTGTGTGCGCAGACAGTAACCAACACTCCTGGAGTTGGCAGGGCCCTTGGTGACTAAGTAGACAGTGTTGATGGGTGATCCAGAGCTAGGGATGTAGCCAGTTAATGGAGTGCAGGCCAGCAGGCAGGAAGCTGTGGGTTTGATCACCAGCACCACACGGTGGCAAACTCCTGTCATTGCAGCATAAGAAAGATGGGGACGGTGAGACCAGGAGTTCAAGGTCACCCTTAGCTATGTATCAAGTTCAGACTGGGCTACAGGAGCCCTTGTTTCAAAATTTTATGTTCCCTGGGAAATCATACCATTTTAGAGGTGTGTGGAATAAGACTTGAGAAGTGGAGCGGCAAGGTAAAAGGATATGGCCAAGGTCAGAGGTTTAATAAATAGGGGAGCTGAGGGAACAGCTGGGAGCTAGAACCAGAGCACCGCTGTTCACTAGTCTCTTACACTCGCACACATCCTTCTGCCACGGCTTACACACACCCGTGAGAAGTCACAGATCACAGCAGAGAGGCAAAGGGGCACACTACAAGTGAACACACAACGCAAAAGACGAGGTTGCGCTCTTACAGAGAACAGCCTACTAAAGTTAGAGAGCTGCTATGGTTCAATTCAGTTCTAATCTGCATCGCATCCCCCTATCAGGCACCCAACACCCTTTCCTCCTAGTGGTTCATTTAAAAGAAATAAAATAAGATAAGATGGATTTCGCAAGTACCTTGGAGAGCTTGGCAAGTGATTTTTCCTTTTAGTTTGATCAATACAGAGTTATCACTTCAGCGTGTGAAAATAGCTTTTCACACATCCCTGCACACACAGCCACACACACACATATAAATCATTGGCAGCAGGTACTTTCAATTTGCTGGAAAATATTTCTAAGAAGTCAAAAAGCTTCAGCCGAATAAGCGTGCCTGCCTATTGGCTAAACGGACCAGTTGAAGGATCTGATTGGTCCCTGATCCTGAGGACCGATAAGACGGCTATAAAATCCCTGGGTGCAGCTCTTGGGCCCCCAGATTGCAAAAGCCAGAGGTGTAAGAAGCAGAAGCAGCAGCAACAGCAGCAGCAGCAGCAGCCAGCCAGCCAGCCAGCCACACACACACAAATTCTTCCTCAGATCCTCACCTAAGCTTTCAGTATATCCAGATCCGCATCTTCACTCAAGCCGGGAGAGGGAAAGAGGAAAGGGGGGGAGGAAAAAAAAAAAGCCAACAACTTAGCGGAAACTTCTCAGAGAATGCTCCAAAACTCAGCAGTGATTCTGGTGCTGGTTATCAGTGCTGCTGCAACGCACGAGGTGGAACAGAATGACTCTGTGAGCCCCAGAAAATCCCGGGTGGCGGCTCAAAATTCAGGTAAGCCAGCAAACCCAGGACTGGTTTCTACCCGAAAGAGCTGTCCTCATCTGCCTCTCTCACTTTTTGCATGTGTGTCCCTGACGGCTGATCTCGGTAATAAATGTGCTTCATGCCTGGCTGTAATGAACTGCCAGTGTAATCCAATAGCCTTAGGAAGTGGAGTTCCTTTGTTTAATAAATTGCATGCAACTAACGAAGAAGCTGGGCGCTCTGCTGAGGGTATTTCATTGCATAAGCCAGCCTGATTGCCTGAAATCTGGCACGTACCCTCTTGTTGGGGGGAGGGGGCGGGGAAAGGCTTAAATGTTGGCATGCCTCACAGCTCTATACTTCACAAGCCGGTCTTAAGGTGATGCGCGGCTTACCTGCTGCGGTCCCTCTCCCTGCTCCTTTAAGACCTTGTAACTTGACTTCTCTGCCTCTTCAGAGAGCACCCAGACAAGCCCCTCTGCACAATGATTTGTGGAACCATAGTTCTCAAATCTGAAGGAAAAAAAAAAGAATCCAGGGCGGATTCAGAAAGAAGAAAGGGGGAAAAATCCTACACACCCCATTCTCTACGGGGCTGCCTGTCTCCTTTCTCGCTCTCACCGGCTCCATTCAATCGCCCAAGCAGCCCATGGCCCCTAGGAGGAAGTGCATTTGTGAAAGAAGCAGTTCTTTCTCTGAGGGGAAGGTCTTACTTTCGGCGAGACTCCAGTACCAGTTAACTGTATATGGCCCTGGCCTCCGGAGGCGAAGAGGCATTAGGACTCCCTCTGCCCCTTGACTTTTTGCTCCCTGCTCATTCCTCTCCCCAACTGTCGGTGGAGATGGGACCGCAGGTGTCAAAATGCTGCAGATGCTTCCCCCATGGAAGAGCACAGGTCCCTGCCGAGAGGAGGCCTTTTGCCTCGCTTCCTTTTGTACTTAGTTGCTATAGCGATGCCGTGATTCACAATTCAAGCTTGCCTAAAACAATAGCAGTCCTAATGCATATTAAAACTGCTTAAAGCAAAGTTATAATTTGAACCCGTGGAAATATATAATTAGGGAAATGACTTGTAACATCCCAGAGGCTGCGGGAGGTGGAAGGGGGGGCGGGGAAGCCTTAGCCTAACCAAACCACGCTTTTGATCTGGGAGGAGAATCCTACGGTATGAATGCTACAGATCATTGCTTGCCGAGCTGCCTGCCAGAACACCCCTCCTTCTGTGGGAGAGAAATTACTTTTATGGCAGATCTTCTCCAGAATGCCGAAAGCCTGGTGCAAGTTCTTTGCGGTTTTCCTCCAGCCTTGCACAGGGGACGCCTTGCACTTGTCTCTCCACACCTGTGTTTCTCCTTTTGGAAAAGAAGCCTTTTTAATATGAGAGATTATTCACACCTCGGAGCGTTGGCTTGCGGTTGGGGGGCTGGGGTGGATACAAAGGGCTCCGAGTCTCTTCTGCCAATGCCACCTTGGGTTAGAAGTCCTCTTGGGGAAGGGTCTCCTTCCATGTGGACTCGGCAAATCATTTTGGATTTGCCATTTGGATTAAAATGCCCAATGCTTTTGACTTCAGACTGCATTTTTTTTTTCAGAAGGCTGCTAGGTCCTCTGATCCTCTCCGGACCCCATCGGGATGGGCCTGCCCTTCAATCACTCACCGCCTACAGCCTACCCATGCCCTTGAGTTCCCCCTGTCAGCCTCTGATTCCTGTCACTACCAGAAGGCACTGTGCATTACAAGGTCTCTAACCTAACTTCTCTAGCCACCAAAATGAATAAAAGGGTGAGACCCAGAAAGCATGTACCTAAGGGGGAGTCATCCCCTCTGCTTTGACTCTTAGGAGCAAAAAGAGCCCATCCATCCCCTTTCTCATCAGACCCCCCCCCACCACCACACACACACTTTTCCTTAAATTGTTCTATCTAATGGAACCCAAGGTCAAAGTTCAAGGAGAAATTCAGACCTTGGCCTCTACACCTACTGGCTCCTACCCAGAGTTCTTCGGCTTGACCCGGACTATTTCTGCTTGTCTTTTTCAGCTGAAGTGGTTCGCTGCCTCAACAGTGCCCTGCAGGTTGGCTGTGGGGCTTTTGCATGCCTGGAAAACTCCACATGTGACACAGATGGGATGTACGACATCTGTAAATCCTTCTTGTACAGTGCTGCTAAGTTTGACACTCAGGTAATGCGACCTTGACCTCTTCCGCTCCCGCTGACCGCTTGTCATTTAACAGGGTGCTCAGGGCTGTAGGAGCCTACCTTGTAGGGACATAATAAAGCTGCTTCCCAGCCTCCTACTCAAAAGGCTCATCCCAGGGTGTAGACAGACAGACACACAGACGTACAGAGAGAGAGAGAGAGAGAGAGAGAGAGAGAGAGAGAGAGAGAGGAAGAGAGATGCCCACATACTTACATGTGGGAGAGGGGGCACAGTCTAGACCAGAAATAAGCAGAAATAAGGAGTTGACAACGGCTGGCTTGAAACAGGAGGAATGACTAGCAGAAAAGTGTTTCTGCTTTGAGAGGAAATAAAAACGTTCTCCTCTGAACGCCCTAGCCTGCTGTCTGAAATTCTGAGTTACCAGTCTTAATCCCAGGAACACAAACCTGATTCTGACCATCTTCACACCTCGGAACTGCTGATGACAGCTTCCTCCCATCTCATTTCCTTTCTCTGGAGCGGAAATGCTCAAGACAGTCCTAGGGAGAAGGTCTTTTTCTTTTTTAGCTATTGGTCACGCTATTAAAACAAGTCCCCTTGTAGGTCCCTGTGTCATTGACCCTGACCGCTTCTAACAGGTCCAACGAACACGTGTCTTCTTGTCCCTGGCAGGGAAAAGCATTTGTCAAAGAGAGCTTAAAATGCATCGCCAACGGGATCACCTCCAAGGTTTTCCTTGCCATCCGGAGGTGCTCTACCTTCCAGAGGATGATTGCCGAGGTGCAGGAGGAGTGCTACAGCAAGCTGAACGTCTGCAGCATCGCCAAGCGCAACCCGGAAGCCATCACTGAAGTCATCCAGCTGCCCAATCACTTCTCCAACAGGTACCCGGGGGAGGGGGCGTCCTCTTCTTCACGATCAGGGGCATGGAGGGGGAGAGGCCAGCAAAGCCAGAGAAGACATTTTTCCCCTCTGGTGTTAAAATCTTCCCCAGCTATCAGACAGCTGGTTTGCAGGAACCCTGGGCAGGTGCATCTCTGTCCAATTCTTAACACAGCCTAAAGCCAACAAGGAAGCCTCTGGGATACACCGTTTGAGACACCAGGTTTGGCTGAAACCGTGACAGTCCAACAGAACAATAGGCCAATAAACCCACCCCAGGTCAAATGTCAGAATGCAGACGTTTATTAAATCTGTGTATATTTCAAGCCAGTCCCAAAGCCAGATATATCAGTGGTTAATCCAGAACAAGTCATCCCATTTCCCCAAAACTTGGAGTTTTCTCTATGAAAAGTGAAATGTCCTCGTCAAAGCCTTACACCACCCCAACCCTCCAGCCCGGGAGTCCCCAGAAGGAAGAGGTGGGAGCTCCCCAGATCAAATTCGTATCTCAGGTGACCCAAAGTCACTGGGTCCACACCATCTGAGCTCCAGGTCTTGCTGGGTCTTTGGCTTTGAAGTTGTTGTCAGACAGGAATGATGCACAAGAGACCTGATATCCTGGTCCAGCATGGGCATCTTGGAAAGATGGCTAGCAAGAAATGAGGGGTGGACAGGGACAGATAGAATCAGTAGTAGTGCAAGCCAGTGGAGGATAACTGTGCATTCCGGAAGCCAAATCCCATGAGTGGATGAAACCCTATGAGTCTCTGACTCTCCCACCCAGTCTTGATGCATTCCCAAGGAATGGTTCTGTTACTCTGGTCTCATCACACTCTCAATCTGGTAGATTTCCCAGACAAATGGCCTTATCCTTTCTGAGAATGACAGTGGTCGAGTCTATCTGAGGCTTTGCCCTTAACATAAAACTTTTGTCACATGTAGGAGCCATTCTGAACCACAGGTTCGTGGCCTACAGGCCCACAAGTCATCTTAGAGAAATCTCCCGTGCAGCCCTTGTTGACAACTCTTCCAGAGTCCTTACTGATTTTCTCAGAACGGGGAAAAAATATCAACTCTATTTTCCTCGAATGGTCTGTCTCTCTAGATCAACCTTGGTTTTTCTTTTAAAAAATTCTCCTAGAAAGATTTTTGTTGAAGGAGGAAAGGGTTAACGCTTGGCCACTGGTTGGAGACTAACCCTTTGCCATCGGGGAAAGAAATGAAGACTTCCTGGTAGGACAATACAAAGGATGTAGCTATGTACCCTTTCTAAAGGAGGCATATTAGCAGACTCATCAGCACAAGTTTGGATAGTTGGCAGGTGACCAATTTCAAAGCTATACTGAGCCAGCTATTTCAATTAAAGCGGCATTTTCCCTTGTGCAAAGGGATTCACCGTAGAAGCCATGGTGTTTGGACCAAAGATTCCCGTCACCCCCAGAGGAAACTTGGGAAAGGTATCCTTAGCCAGATCATTATTCTTTTTTCAAAGTGCCTTGTTTGCACCGCCTTCAGAAAATGGTCCAGGCACAGTCTCCTTATCTCCTCTTGTTCACATTCAGTAGGAAAGGTCAAGGGGGAAAGGGTGGCACACTCACACACCAGACTCTCTCAAGTAGCGCTTACCTTTATCCAAGTATTTCACATCTAATGTTCAGGACTGGAACGATTTCCGTTCCAGGAGGGGCTTGATCTGCTAGCTCTGTTTCAGCTCCTCGCCCGCCTGAAACATCCTGCTTTCCCAGCCTCCGTCCCAACATAGACACACGCACAGTTCCTGCCGCTTGGCAAGGGACTGCTACGGGAAGTAGTTACAGGTTCATTCCACCTTCCTGTGATTTGTCTAGCGTGAGATTTAGGTCTGGGAGAATCCAAAACCTGTAAGGCAGAGCAGGACGTGGACGTGGGAGAGGTTCATCCAGAGGGAGAAGGTAGCGGGGAGAGTCCGCCTGCCTCGATTTGCAACCCGGACCTTCAGTCCTGAGGGCAGCAGGAAGCGAAGAAGAGATGGGCAAGACACTGCGAGGCTTGGGAACCAATGAGCCCAGCACAGCCCCAGAGTGGGAAAACTGACAAAGCGCCCAACTCTCTAGGGCATGGATAGGGAACAGGAAACAGAAGAATAATATTGATCAAGGGAAACAAAAGACTATTTATAAACGCTCACACAGAACGTTCCGAGGCAGAATCTGTATTTGGGAAGCATGGCTGAAACTGTAGCTATGGAGAATATCTGATCTTTTTCTTTATCAGGGAGTGGGGAGGTGGAGGGGGTGGGTTCGAGGACTCTCCAAAACAAGAAGAAAGATATGGGCTTTGTAAAAGGTGCTTCTAGGCTATGAGACCAGAAAGCTTCATCTGCTACCCCATTGCAATGAGTAACCTCGTGCCATAAAGGGTGCCAGGCTAAAGAACTGAATCATCCCAACTCCCCCTGCAGAGGAGGGAGCTTCTACTGGGTTGTACTGTTTTCTTAGCCCGGAAGAGAAAAATGTACAGTGAATCCTTACAAACAAAATACCATAGCAAAGGGTGACAGTTATCCAGACCCTACTGCCCCTTCATCTGAAGGGGACAGTTATCCAGACCCCATGGCCCCTGTCTAACTGACTGAAGACAGAGGTCCTGTGAGACAAGCAACCTGAAGGTCTCACAGCTTGTGAGTCACCAAATAGGGTCCAGAATTCACATGGCCTCGAGCCAATCTATTTTGATTTCTACTTAAAAAAAAAAAACCAGCCAGAAAAACCCTGCAAAAAGTCCTTGCAACCCAAAAATAGAATACCATGAATAGCTAAATCTACATACACCATGGTATTCAGCAAGGAATTCTGTGTGTGCTCTCTCCTAAAAGAGAAGACACATCCCTCTTTACAGCTAAAGTAACTATGTGTCCTTAGTATAAAAGGGTGCTCAATAAATATATGACAATTGCTAAGTCAACTTTTGCTGGAGGCACAACCTCTTAGAGCATCTGTGTTGCTTAGCAACGTGTACCAAAGGTCTTCTCATTGGCTTGCACAGTCCAGAGTTAAGTGCCGCATTCCAGTCACATTGGAGACAACAGGGTTAGCTGAACGGATATCAGGCAATCTGGCATGGGCTTCAGCCTTTGAGGAGCTCCTAATAGGGCCATGTAGAATCTCCTGTTTTAAGACGTTCTCTTAGCCTACTCCATTGAGTGATCAGAGCCCCCTCAGGGAAGCAGAAGAGTAGGCACACTGACTGGGGTCATTGCCAAGAAAACCCAAGAGTGGGTACCCTGGTCAGTCCATTAGAGAAAGCAACACCAAAGCTGCAGGTTGTCCAGACAAATTGAATCTCTTTAAGGGGTTTAGACTTCTCCATCCAGACAAGAGCTTCCAGTTCTGTTAAAGGAGGAACTTTTTTATTCTTTCTGTTTCTAAAGAGAAATCATATTGTTCAGCCTGTTTTGGAACACATGTATCATGAAGAGGTCTCTCTAGGTGTGAAAGGGTTAACTTCTCTGAGTTATGTCATCCTTTTGGGCACCTTTTCCTCCAAGAAGTGACTGCCCTCTAAAACAGACCCCAAGGTGTAGGGGAGCTAATTCCTGGTAGATGCCCAGAGAAGAATGAGGATATAGATGGCTGAAGATAATGGGGCACAATTGTTTCTTTTTTTTCTCAGTTTTTCCAAAACTACTTTTCTCCCCATTTCTCCATCCAAGGACCTTCAGCTTGACTCATGCGCTTTGTGATTCCAAAGGGTTGGAAAATGCTCCTCTGAGCCAGAGAAGCCCAATTTCACTCACAGCTGGATATAATTGTCCCTGAAAGAATGGCTGTAACCAGGACAATGGGCAAGCCAGACGCTGTCCTCTCTCTCCCCAGCCCCAGCTTGACCCTCCCGCTCAGAGAAAGGTGACCATTATCCTTCATTACTCACGATCTACCCTCTTCATTGTCCATCATTCTAGTGACCTCTCTAGGGGGTCAAGTTATTCCAGCAAGATGCTTGTTCCTTTGCTATGGGAGATGAGTTAAAAATAAACAGGATTTTCCCGCCTGGATGATCCTGTGGCCCTCAGTGACATCCTGACCACTCCTAGAAAAGGGTCTCGCCACATCAGGACAGCAGGTCACGGTCACCAGGGGAGACTCCTGTCAATGAACACAGAGCTAATAGGTTTACACAACCATTGAGTCAGAAATGTCCCGGCAGTTTAGAAACTATCTGAACTCTATGAGTTGTTTTGAATATAGATGGCTCCGTCTTTCAAAGCCTTGGCAGCACTGTTTGACATTCAGAGAATTGTTGCATACGTGACAGTCACTTATACCAAACACAAAGGTCTTTGTCATTAGGAATTTTGTTTGTTTGCTTACAAATCTACCTGACCAAGAGATCAGTTTTCTTCAGGAAGCTGAGAATTTCTTTTGTACAAGAGAAGAATATTTTTATATTCTTTCCATTGATGTTAAAGTTCAGCTGATATATTGAGGAAATATTTCAGTATAGATATAATAGCATAGGGGCAGACAGCGAGACCCAAGAGAAGTGTTATGCATACAGAGCAAAGGTGGATGTGTTCTTCTCAGGCAAGAGAGTCACCATGTTATTTAAGTTCCGTTTCCTCGGGGGAAGGGGAGAATATGAAATTCAACAGTGAATTATTGAGCAGACAATACAGCCTGATGATATTCAGTCACTTGGATACCAAGAGTAAGGACATCCTCCCTGCCCTTGAGACATTTTCAAAATCAAGCCAGGGAAAAATGAATAGTCATAATGCCATCAAATGTCTCTGCTTGAGGGGATAACTAAAGCCCGTGAGACGTCCAAAGAAGGAAAAGGTCACAAAAGTCTGAACCATGTGAGAGGGTTTCATGGGCTTCCAGAGCAGGAACCTTTGAGGGGCATTAATCTTTCCCTTTAAGCGCCCTTGCTACCTAGTGTTTGGCTGCAGAAGGCCACTCTAAGCCTTTGAAGGAAGCCTCAAAACAGTCATTCAGCCAACAGCCTTTTCAGGACTGGCTGAGTGGGTGTAAGGAAAGTCGATTTCACAGGAAAATGCATGGCTTTAGACCAAAGCAGTTAGAAAGCGTATTCATGAGCACATGCTCTTGAGCACGCGCACCAGGGTAAAGGGAAACTGCGAAAAGGCATCCAATTCACTGTCAGTCCCTGGGCAATGATGTGGTACGAACACAAACTCTGAGCTTCAGACCCAGCTATTGTGCTCATCTTACATGAGTCCATACATGGGTATAGTACAGTGGACGTGATTAAGTCTGCTTCTGCCATTCATTCATTGTAGGATGCTGAGCGCACATCCTAATTTCTTCTCTACACAATGAGAGCATTTTGTGTTGTCCCATTTATTCCTAAGAGTCCTTGCCTTCCAGAATTTCAGACCATACAGTCAGCCTACTACTTGTCAGTTTGATCTACATCTCTTGAAGGGTAAACCTGGAGATGGGCTTTCTAGTGTGGTAAGGTAAACCCAGAGCTCAGAGGGAAAGGAAAGTCGCCTTTAGCTTTGAACAGTTTGAGCACTGATGTCAGAACCTTGTCCTTACTTGGGTTTCCCTAATAAAGCATTTTCCCGCTGCAGATACTACAACAGACTTGTCCGAAGCCTTCTGGAGTGTGATGAAGACACAGTCCGCACAATCAGAGACAGCCTGATGGAGAAGATAGGGCCCAACATGGCTAGCCTCTTCCACATCCTGCAGACAGACCACTGTGCCCAGACGCACCCCAGAGCCGATTTCAACAGGAGGCGCACAAACGAGCCACAGAAGCTGAAAGTCCTCCTCAGGAACCTTCGAGGTGAGGGGGACTCTCCCTCCCACATCAAACGCACCTCCCATGAGAGTGCGTAAGCAGGGGGAGGTATTCACAGCCTCGGCGAATAGCATTTTAGGGGTGTTGACACACCAACTTTGAGTGTACTGTGCCTGGTTTGATTTTTTTTTTTAAGTAATCTCTATTTTCTATCCGCCCCCCCCTTAAAGAAAATTGCATGAAACTAGGCTTCCGTAATCAATATCCCAACATTCTGCAATGACAGCACTATTACCAACGGAGTACACGTGATCATTCATCCTCTCCTTGAGAGACTGTAGTCTCTTTTATCCCCTCTCTCTATGAATTCTTTTCCCAGATCCCTACCAATTGCTCCTCAAACACAAAACGTTCATGTAACTTCCCAGTCATTGTAATCTGAAGACGTAGAGCCCTTTAGAATGGTCACCCAGTAGAGTTAGCCAATACAAAACAACTTTATTTAAATGCATGTCTTAAATGCTCATAAATATGTTGAATGGAATTCGTGTTATGAATCTGTGCTGGCCATGGACGAATATGAATGTCACGTTTGAATTCTTGATCTCTAGCGAGTCTTATGGTCTCTATCCTCCAATGCCTAATTTCCTTTCTGACATATTTACCAAATTGCTCAAGCCTGGTTCTCCCACCAGACTTTGAGCCAGCATCTTCTTGCATCTAATGAAAAACAGAAAGCTAACATCTTTATGTACTGTAACTGCTCAGAGCTTTAAAAGTATCTTTAACAATTGTCTTAAAAACAGAGAATCTTAAGGTCTAACTGTGGAATATAAATAGCTGGAAACTAATGTACTGTACATAAATTCCAGAGGACTCTGCTTAACTAAGCAGTCTATAAGAACTTTATCGCATATAGATTTAGTTTTGTACCTTAGCTTTATTTTCCTTTTCCTGGGAATGAAATAACTATCTCACTTCCAGATATCCGCGTTCATGCTCCTTGTGGCCTTTTTTATAACTAAGGGGGTAGAAGTAGTTTTAACTCAACATCAGAACTTCAGATGGGCCTATACGAGATAGGAAAACCCAACAGGTTATCTGAAGGACCCCAGGTAAAATGTCAATCTCCCAGCCCACCTCAACCCAGAGGCTACATTTGACTTAGGTGTATCTTGAAAAGGTTCTGTCACATCCAACTGGGAATTAGGACTCAAACAGATCACCCCTTTGGGCTTGGACACTGAGTGTGACAAGGCCTACTGTCCCCTTGGAAGTGGCAGTTCTTGGCTCATAACCTTCCATCAGTGCCTGGCACTCTGGTCAGTGATGGTGTGGGAGATTCTAAGCCAATCAGGAATGAGTCAATCAGCCTTTGGGTCTTCAGTCTGGGGAACTTGGGCTTCAGGGGGTGTAAATAACCCTGGGATGTCCCGCCTTAATAGACTCCTCTTCCATTGTCCTGTAACACGCTGCTTGCCAAAGTAGTCCTGGCAGCTGGACCATCTCTGTAGGATCTTTAAAGAAAAAAAAAAGAGAAAAAAGAAAAAAAAAAGAAAAAATATAGAGAGAATGAAGGAGGGCGTAAGAGCTGGTGGTTTGATCATTTCCGCTGTGATGTTTACAAGATGGCAGCCACCAAAGCCAAATGATTAACCTGTCTACGAACAACAGTAGTTTCTCAGGGTCATTGTCCTTGAACCCAACAGCCCCTTATGAGTGTCACTGCTCACCAAAGGTCAATGCCGAGAGAGGAAGCGGAAGGGGCTGCTCCAAAGTCACTTGGGTAGAAACTATTGGTGCTTGACTCTCACTAGGCTACACCGCAGAGTTGACCAAATTGAGTGATAGGGACCCTGGTGGGAGGAGGGAGGGCACCTCTCCAGGGAAATAAAAAGCAATACAACTTTACCACAAAGCCTTTAAAACCAGAAACAAAGTGCTCAAGGACCAAGATCAGTGCAGCAGGCAGTCGCAGCCGCGGCCACGGCCGCAGCGGCGCAAACGCTGCTGTCTCCGTTCCCACACAGCCTCTAAGCGTGCTGACATCAGATTGTTAAGGGCATTTTTATACTCAGAACTGTCCCATCCCCAGGTCCCAAGCAAATGGACACTGCCTTAGCCTCTTGGAAATCAGGTAGCACATACTCTAAGCTAGATTCACCCCTCTCCCCCACTTCCCGCCCCAGGCAAGGCTGACTTCTTTGAACCAGAAAAGCTAACCAAGTGTGTGTGTTGTGCATTTTGCAAACTCACTAAGCCAGAACCCCAAAGTGGCAAGTAGCTTATGAGAATTCCTAGTAAATTTCTCTTTTACTTTAGTTCGGTAGATTTTCTTTCTCTCTTCTCTCTTTCTCCTCTGTTCTCTTTTATTTTTATTATTATTGTTATTTTTTGCTGCGACTTCTTCAAACCGTGGTATAGCCTCTTTTCTCCCCGCAGTGATATTGGTATATGTGTCAACAATACATATATCTACCACATACATGGAAAGAAGCAGTTCTCACAATGTTGCTAGGTGTTTGCTTCCTTTCTCCCTGCCCTGGCCCCTCCACCTCCTCCTTGAACTTCCAAAGCTTTGTCTCGTGTTTGCTGCAGAGTGATTCGGGGGCTGACCTAGACCAGTTTGCATGATCTCCTCTCTCGTGATTTGGTTGCACTTTAGAACATTTTTGTGCCGTTATATTTGCATTATGTATTTATAATTTAAGTGATATTTAGGTTTTTGGCTGAGTACTGGAATAAACAGTGAGCATATCTGGTATATGTCATTATTTATTGTTAAATTACATTTTTAAGCTCCATGTGCATATAAAAGTTATGAAACATATCATGGTAATGACAGATGCAAGTTATTTTATTTGCTTATTTTTATAATTAAAGATGCCATAGCATAATTTGAAGACTTTGGTGAATTCCTTCTACGATAATAATAATAATAATAAAGTGTTACGTTTTATTTGGTTTTTTTGCCCTCCACGTCTTTCGTTGTTATTCATTAAAAACATCTTGGGCCAGTAAAATGGCTCAGTGCATAAAGTACTTGTGGCCTCACAAACCAGATGACCTGAGTTCAATCCCCAGAATCCATGAAATATAGAAAGAAAGAACAGACCTCCACAAACTTGTCTTCCCACCTCTACATAGGCTGCACACATACATAGACGCACATGCGCACACACACGCATACATGTATGTATGCGTACATGCATGTATAATAACAACAACAACTATGTCTTTTTGAAAACTTCTTGAAATTAGAATTTCTAAGTACAAAATCACCGTCCCATTCATTTTCTCTCGAGTCACTAACTATGGGTCAATCTGACCACAAATGCAGTTTAAATCAACACTCGCTAAAAGTCTTTACACTCTCCAGTGGCTCCCCTTGCCCTCATGATAAAATTGAAACCCCGGGGGCTGGGGAAATGGCTCAGACAGTAAAGGGCTTGCCACACAAACATGAAAACCTAAGTTCAGATCCCAGACACTCCTGTAAAAATGCTGGGTATGGCAGTGTGTGCCTGTACTTTAACACTGGTGAAGTAAAGACAAGAGGAGTTCACTAGCCAGACAGCATGCTTAGCTGAATTAGCATGCATCCGGTCCATGAGAGGCCGTGTCTCAAAAAACAGAGTAGAAAGTGATCAAGGAGGGAACCAACAGCATCAACCTCAGGCTCACACAGATACATGAACACGTACACATGAAAACAAACAAACAAACTAAACCCAAACTCCTTCTAAGTCTGGAAGAATCACTGGGGTCTGTAACTACTACTAGGCCATCCATACTTATAGGTCAGTAACCTCTGCATAGCAGTGAGGCCCAGCACAACTGGGATTTGCTCCATCTCCCTTCCAGGGGTCTGTGCTGTTGACACTTCCTCTCTGCAGAGACTGGGAGCACCTGGGTGACAGACAGATCCCCAACATTAGAATAGCACCTTTGTTATTAGAAGGAAAGAGTTTTGAGAGCAGCAGAAGAGGAGGTACAGACGGTTGCGTCAGGTCAAGGAAGCAAAGGAAGCCAATAGCTCTGCTACCAGCATTCAGATGTTTGCGACTGAAGTTCTGGCTCTGTCCCTTACCAACTGCATGGTGTCAGATGAGTTATTACGGTCAGAGTCCGTCAGTTTCTTCCTGCCCTGTGACAGTGATACCATGGAACTGCTGTGCAGCATTAAGTGGGCTGCTTAGTGCAGTTCCACACAGTTGACTCAGTGAGAGTCCACTACGGCCATCTTGGGCAGAGCAAAGTAAAGCTAGCACACCATCTCAGAAACTTCCAAAGGATTCACAAGCGCATGACAGGTAGCCCGGGTCTTGTCAGAGGGTTTGCATTCAGTCATGGGAAGAGAAGGACTTCAGTAACAGAATTTTTTTTTCAATGGGGATCTTAGATCATTATTAATAAACGAATTCTCCTTATGGTTTAAAATCACATGAAGATATTTTCCCAATCATTTCTAACCCTAAACTGCATTTTCCCCATGTCCAGAGGTTTACAGCATAGTGAACCTACAAAATAATGTGTTGTATTGGCCAGAGAAACAGTGACCATTTTGATTTTTCCTCTTCAGCCTTCTTTCAATATCTGTACAGAAAGGCTGTATTGTAGGCTGCCGTTTAAAGAACTTAGGCCTGGAATTTCTACAGTTGAGTTCAAGTTCAACTCCTTCCCACTGTCTCTGCGACTTTGTACCAAAGTTCTGGACTCTTTTTTACATCAGTTTTTGTATTTATAGAATTATTCCTAGATGAAGTATCAAATAATAGGTCCCACCTACAAAATTAAATATGTTATACATGAAGCACTTAAAACTGGCATATAGTAAGTACCCTCCAAATGCTATGAATTAATCTCTCCATAAACATTAACTATCACAATTTAGAGTCTGCTCCCACCCCAACATGAGTCTTGGTATCCTATTGGATGAAGGATTATTTTTCTTTCTTTTTGCCTTTTGTAGATCACTACTCATTACTGTTAAATCAAGATTTTATGAATTTGAATTATAAAATATGACAACCCTCAAAAGTGGCAACGTATAGAATGATAAATGTATCTCCCTCTCACCCCCAAGCAGACTATACTGTGCCTTCCCAAGACCAGTCACACTTTAACAACCGTCACTTGAAGTCATTTTCAAGAGCCATAGCTGAAAAGGGTTGAATTTCTTGTGTTAGTGAAACATTTAGGTGGAGGGCTGGGGAGATAATTCTCCTCTTCCATGAGGATCTGAATTTGAACCCTTGAAATGCACATAAAAGCTGAATACTGTGGCAATTTGGATTAAAAGGTGAAAGGCGGAGACAGGAGGATTCTTCAAAGCTTGAGAGACAGCTAACTTGTGTACGCCACAGTTAGGAACAACAAAGAGGACCTGCCTCAAACAAGGTGGAAGGGGATGGCTGATACCCAAGGTTGGCCTTCAACCCCTACGTCCATGAATGCAGAGAGAGAAACAGGGGATTAAAAAATGAATTTAAACAAAAATGTTCTTATCAGCATTTCCAAAGAGAAGTTCCAAAGATCTTGAAATGATCTGTAGGTCTGTGGGGGGAGAGAAAGCAAAACTTCCTATCAAATCAACACATGGGTCATAAAGGGCCATCAGCAGGGATCCTGCATTTGTATTTCTTGAAATTATTGAAATGATAGAAGTGTCTGAGTGGGCCTGAAAGCCACATCGTTAGCACTCCCCTAGTGGTGCCCATTGTATTGCCTTCAAGAGTAAGATGAGTAGTGGGGTCACAACGTTGGCCATGAATTACAGTCAACTCTGAAGTCCAATGTCCTCCTCCACAGCCTCATGACAAAGATGCTCTCTTGGTTCAAGTTTGATCATGTCCATTCCTCACACTAATCGATCCCCAGGGCTTCAAAGACAACAATCAAGTGTGTTGACATCGAGTGTACACCCTTTGAAACAAGCTCATTTTCTCAGCGCATGCTCAAAATGTTATTGATCGGATTCCCTCAAAGAATCTATTTTCAATCAATATATATACATATATGTGTATATACGTGTGTGTGTGTGTGTGTGTGTGTGTGTGTGTACAAGTGAATGACTGCCTTAGCATGATGGAGTATGCTGGGACTGGTGGGTCCATTGCCATGGTGAGTAGAAAAATTGAATTCTATCTATCAGTTTCCTAAAAGCAATTGCAAGCACTCAAGTCTGCCAGCCGGGGCAACGATGCATGACTTTGTTTCTTTCCGGCACCACCTGTTAGGAGAGTACAGCTGTTGTTATTAATACTTTCTTCTGAGGTCTGAGCAATAAAGAACTCTTTAACAAACATGTTTCCATATTGGTAAATCTACACACCCTTGCATACTAGAAAGTGGGACGCAGAGACAAGGTGACCGTTTGTGTGTCCTGTAAACCCACTTTCCTTGAAGCCCTGGTGACTTTGTAATGCAGTCGCAGTCACAACACTGCTAAATTCATGACTTATGTTCAAGCTCTGAATTGCCTTCTTTCTGCACTTTTACTTTTTTCTTCCAAGAAAGAACCA